TCCCTGTACCCAAAGCCACCACGTCCTTGTCCCCATCCCATCCTTGTCCTCATCCCTGCTCTTATCCCCGTGCCCAGAGCCACCATGGCCTTATCCCCACCTCTGTCTTTGTCCCCATCCCTGTCCTTGTTGTCCCCCACCCTGCCCTTGTCCCCATCACTGTCCCCATCCCTGCCCTTATCTCTGTGTCCAGACCTGCCATGTCCTTGTCCCCTCTCCTGTCCTTGTCCCCCTCCCATCCCTGTGCCCAGAGCCACCATGTCCTCATCCCCACCATGTCCTCGTCCCCGTCCCCGTCCCCATCCCCATCCTTGTCCCCATCCCACCCTCATCCCCGTCCCTGAGCCCGGTGCCCGATGACGGGTGTCCCCAGGATGGGGGAGTGACTCAGCACGTGACGCAGGCGAGGGTGACATCCCCGGCCACCTCCAGCTGGTCGATGGTGGCCGGTGGCAGCCGGTGGCTGTAGTCGCAGATGTGGCGCCCGTTCACCCACAGGGCGAAGGCCTGGCTCAGCAGCCGGATCTCCAGCTGGGTGACATGGGGGATGTCACCATGGGGGACAGGGACCCCCAGCCCCCGGGGGGCACCCACCCCTGGGGACACCCACCCGGCAGGAGCTGGGTTGGGACTGGGACTGGGACCAGCTAAGGACTGGGACTGAGACCAGTATCAGGACCAGAAGCAGGACTGGTCCCAGGATCAGCACTGGGATCAGGACCAGGACTGGGAGCAGTACTGGGATGGGGACCAGGACCAGGACCAGGACCAGGACCATGTCCTGGGACTAGGACTAGGATCAGGACCAGAACTGGGACCAGGACAAGGGCTAAGGCCAGGACTAGGACTGGGACCAAGACCAGAACCAGGACCAGGACCAGGACCAGGACCAAGACCAAGACTATGTCCAGGACCATGTCCAAGGCCAGGACCGGGACTGGGACCACAACGGGGGCCAGGCCTACAGCCAGGTGCAGGTGGCGGCTCACCTGGAAGGGCTGCCCACGCTGGAAGGGCATGGGGCCGGTGGTCTGCCGCTCCTCGGGCCCCCAGGACCCGTGCTGGCGGGTGTTGCGCACCAGCACGCCCTCGCGCAGGCGGGGGTTGACGTGCAGCACCAGGTCCCCCGAGGCACTGCTCCACAGGTTGGCGTGGAACCTGCAGCCGGGGGCACCCGTCTGGCACCCACCACCCACCCCTGGACTCCCCCAGCATCCAGCACTCAGCCCTGGACCCATCCG